CACTGTCGACTTGGAATCGGGTTCGTGTACTCGCTGCGCAGATCGACACCATATCCAGCTCCCATGCAGGCATCTTGTTGCAGCACTATACAGTCGAAATGGTTGTCCATCTTCTAACGCTGGTGCATACAAGTTTTTCCATCCAGCCTTCACTGTCACTTCGTACAAGCCTTTGCAAACGTTTCCATCAGTATGCCTTTTGTGCCGGCACTGCTTCTCAACACCAACGTACGACCTCCTCCACTCTGCAATCAAGCCGGCAATCTAGCTCCCACAAGCAACGCGATGTCGCCAGGCGTGAGAAACGGATTCCTTCTCGCGGAGAACCCAGAGGACCCAGGTCTAAGCAGATACAAACAACCAGCCCCCCTCACAAAATAGAAAGCGAAAATGTTGCGGCCAGCATGCGCGACTTTTTCAACGAGGAGATCCGTTCTGCAGAAAAGAAAAAAAGAGCCAAGTACAAATGCAGCCTTTGTAGAAAAGCTGAGGGTCACAACGCAGCAAGATGTCCAAAACCGGCCTTGGGTGATGTCGACGATGACGTGCAACCAGGAATCTACGTCGTGGGGAATTGTCCAATCAAGCTACTTGAACAACGAAATGCGTTTGTATCCACAGCAGAAGAAATTCCGACCATCGTAAGTGACTTTTGGCTTTGATTTAATCGGTTTGGATTCCGGTGGCTGTGGATTTTCCTAAAGAGCGCATGCAATGCGAAGTCCAATTAGAAGAAACTAATCACACAAATTAAATTCATCGATACCTTGCATTTGTTTTGAGTTCGCAGGGGCTCCACAGTTACCTAGCACGGCCCTTTCTCCGGGTTTGGGGGCACTGGGCTTTATTACCACACCGCTCACCCCCACATGCGGATCAAACAAGGATGTTCAGGTAGCAGTAGATCCCCTAAAGCCGCTAAGCCTCATCTCCTCATACGCTTGTATCTGCAAGACATAGTTGACATACGCAAAACAAATTTTAATATCGCACACGAGATCACTGCTGGAGAAAATACTCGTTCGTCATACCTGTACGAGAAAATACTCGTACCTCATACCTGTACGACGGTCCTGCTCCCACAAAGTCTGGTACTCCTATGAAGTTGGCTCGCTTGCTCCTCACATACGGCTTGGTTGCTGCGAACTCAAAGTAGTTGGCCTTGATGTGGTCAGACTTGTTGCAGATGTGGCAGGTACGGGTCTCCTTGCTCTTCGAATTCGAGCTTGGTTTGAATCGTCCCTTTCCTCGAAAGGGTTTCCCTTATACGTTTTCTTGTTGTCTTGGGCTTGTTCATTAAAGGTCTTCGTCTTCTCGTGACGAACCTTGCGCTCACTAGCGTCCTCCACAAAGTGGGTTACTTCAAACTTGACATCTAAGTCCATGGCGTCACTCAGCGTCTCAGGATTCTCGAGCTTTACGTAGCTCCGCGTGCGAGGCTTGAGACCGTTTGCGTAGAATAGGACTTAGTCAAGCACACTCATGCCTTCGGCTCGGAAGATGAGGGCCGAGCACTCGCCGTTATAGGTCTCGATATCAGCTGTCTGCTTCAGACGCTGGAGCTTCTCTCGTAGCACTGACTGGTAGTTCGACGCCTGAAAGTGTTGGAGCACATGCTTACGGAAAACCCCCACGTGTGCTCTTCCACTCGCGTCGTCGAAGCACAGTGTAGGAAACATCTCGAAGCCGGTTTCTCAATCGCCGACCCGGCGATTCCTGGTAGTCGCGGGTTCGTGTCGTCGATGCTGTGCGTGAAAGAAGGAGAAAAAAAGAGAAGCAGAAAAACGAGAAGCCACGTCAGTAAAAAAGGAGGTCCTGTCGTGGAGGAGAAATTAACCCGAGCAGTTAAGTTTGATAATGTCAGCCTTAATGTTCTGAGTGAAAACCCTCTAGTCTACAAGTCACGTCCACTGTTCGCTGTCAGCTGACCCACCGCTTCGACGCGTAGATTGTGGTTGCACCACAGTCTAGAAGCATCTTCGGTGTTTTCTACATCTTTCCAGCCACACTGATATCAGTGTGGCTGGAAAGATGTAGAAAACACCGAAGATGCTTCTAGACTGTGGTGCAACCACAATCTACGCGTCGAAGCGGTGGGTAGAAGAACACCAGCTAAAGGCAGCGAAGTTCAGCGACAAGAACATTCGAGTCAAGCTAGGAGACAACCCGATTGTGGAG